GTGGGGGCAAGGGGTGTATTTGGGCTGGGCCCCGGCTGTGCCAGGAAGGCAGCAGGGGAAAACTGGGGTGCTCCTGCCCAAAACCAGACTTGGAACCTTTCCTCGGAGCCTGGGCTCTGGGGGCTGCCCTTCCCCTGGGTTCCAACATTCCCTGAGAGAAAGAGGAATCTCCCCTAATCCGGGAATTTTTCCCAGGCTGTTTGAAGCAAAGCATCCCCTCCTGGAGCTTTTATCCGGGAGGGGACAAGGCCTATGATCCCCCCCTTGCTAGGCAGGAGCTGCCTCAGTTAGGACATATTAGAAAGCAACATCACTGCCTAGGAGCAAGCCAGAAGGAGCTTCTATGCTGATTATTCCCACCCGCTTATGTTCACCTGGAAGATAAGGTGGTGGTTGTTGTTGTTGTTATTATTATTATTATTGTTGTTGTTGTTGTTTCTTTAGACTCAGAGGTGTCTACGTGTGGGTTGGGGAAAGGCTGTTTTAAATGACTCTTTTCCAAATGACAAACAGAACTTTTATCATAACTCTTCAGATGGAGTCTCATGAGGGAACAAGGCTTTATCTTCTTTTAAATTTCTTATTTCTGAGTTCTTAACTAATTAGGATGAAATGACATTGTCATGCACGGAATTAATTGAATTCTGCCAGTACAGCTTAAACTCTTTAAAACATTCCTACCTAAATGAGCTCTTTGCTAGCACAAGCTGAATTTTTCAGCTCTCCAGGCCAATTTTTGCACAATAAGTAAATGGTATTTATGCACAGGGAGGCCTCAATGTAATGCCCTCTATTGCGAGTTCTAATAAAAGGCTGCTCTGTTTTGGCTCCTTATTATAATAACACTATAAATAACCTCTTTGTAACAAGGACTTTTTAAAAAATGTGAAAAGTTTTGCTCTGAAACCTCCTGGTGCACATTGTGCCACCATCTGGCGAAGCTGGCTTTCAGGGTAGATAACACCTCCCAGCACTGCATTCACGCTGGGGTAGCAAAGAGTGCCAGAGAGGTAAAAAAATGCAATATTGGGAGAAAAGACATAAGCTGCCTGAGGTAAACCAGCACACACACACACACACAAAAAAAGCTGCATAGTTTCAACATACCTTGGGAAGGGTCCATAGTGCTTATTGAAGCAAAACTCACGCTGATTTAGTGTCTAAGACTGCTGGACTTAGTCTTTAGATTATTGTATGTTATGCTTGCGTAAAAGGACTTGGAGACATTGCTTTTTTTTCCTACATTAGATTAATTTTATAGAAAGAGTGCTGTTGTGAGCAGTATTGGCTACAGAGGCACGGTTACCCTTGGAGCAAGACCAGATACATAATTCAGTGGCCGCAGGAAGATTTACCAGTGCTGAGCAAAAGATGATCTAACAATCTAATGCAGTTTTCATTTGGATGATAACATATTTAGAGCTTGCATTTTATTGCCTTTCTCCAGAAGACCCAAAGCAGTACCGTGACTCCAAAAAGCTTCACTTATCTCTTTATTTAGTAGCTTTCAGAAATAGCACACATCTTTTTCCTCCATAGCATTTTGGGTTTTTGAAGGCGATCACTTAGTTTTTACTTTTCTCATAGGAGATACTCTTAATGAATTGGCATTTTATTTTTTTCTTTTGTCAGTAAGTATCATACATCATGAAAAAGCTCTGCTTGCAAGAAATTACTAGCAGATTTTTCTCCCATGTCTTAGTTTAAGTAACTAACACAGCAAGCATGTTTCTGTAGTCACAGGTAGTTAACTAGAGCACAAGATGAATGACTGTTAATGAAATCAGGGCAATTTCTCAATTTTTAACATTGCTATTGTTCTTTAATAAAGGAAAGACCAAGATAAATTACTAGTAGAGTAGATATGTTCACCATATTGAACAAGACTGTGATAAGGGTTTGAGAAAACTGTGTACAAACTACAAATTCTGGATCAGGTTATTGCGGAGTTAAGAAAACTGCTGTCTCAGGAGTCATTCTGATAGTCAGCACTGGTGGATACATACTGTTTTTTCAATACACATTGATTTGATGGAAATAACCAGGAGCACTAAACTTTAAGGACCTGTTCTCAAGGCTTTGATATGCTGAAGAAGTATCTGGCTTCGAAGAGGAAGGGCAGCATGAACTGAACCAGCTTCGGCTTTTCAGGTTGAACTGGGAATAACAATAACTTATCAAGAGCTGAGTAAGGAAGGTGAGCCTCTTATAAGAGGACTATCAAATGGAGAAAAGCTGCAAAATCATGCACAGAAACAGAAAAGCAACTGGATCGGACAGTATCCAGACTAACTGGCCACAGCAGTGGTGGGGGAAGTGTTTGACATGGGTGGTCCCAAAGGCAGAACAGGCACAAAGGATGCTGTATTAGGGGTTTCTGTAGCCTGACGGCCTGCCAGCATCACTGGCCTTTCCCCATTCCTCTCTTCATTAGCCAAGCCATGCTCTTATATGTCTTGTGGGGTTTTACCCTCTTCCCCCTCTCCAGTACAGGAGCTGCAGCCACTCCTGAATAATGCAATTAGACTCTGAGACAAGATTATTTTTTCTGAGTCTCTGTTATGTAAACCATGATTATTTCTGAAGCTTTAATTTCTAGAACAAATACCCCCAAAATCATGAGCCTCCAGGGGAAGGGTGTACTTTGAGTGACAAACAGAGCCAAGAGAGAAGGCAGGATAGGCCTCAAGGGATGGCTGGGGATAAAGCCAGTCTCCAGTTCTGAGAAGACACCACTAGACTGAGTTCTAGCACTGGAGAATTGACCAAGCTAGGGCAATTAATCATGCACGGAATCTGGCTCCTGGATTCCGCTGAGGCAGGTGATGGTGTGAGAAGTGGTGGAGATGACCACATCTCTAATTCACCAAAAGCAAGAGCACTCTTGCTGTCAGAGGACGGTGATACCTTCCAACCCACGGTTCACACACAGCAGGTGTATGTCCCATCTAAGAAAGGTGTTGCCAGCATTGTCCATGCTGTGAACTACAGCATTCAGAAAGTTTGGGCATTCGAGGATTAAGGCTGCTCATGCAGCTGCAGTTTGGAGTCCTGCTAACGCTTTATTGATGGCAGCCTCAATTACTTGATCAAATAAGGGTCTTCTCTGTAGAACTGCTGCCGCACAGGCAGTGCTGTTAGTTGCAGACTTTTCTGTCTGCTGAAAACTGAAGGTATTTGGTAATGCTCGACCAGTCTCAGTACGATGTTGCTTCCTATAAGCAACCCATTTTTGTGATAGGAACAACCTTCAGGCAAACACAAGAGGTTCTGCTAAGGAAAAAAAAAAAGTGTCTGTAGTAATTAATTTTCATTTATTAATAAATATTAATTTTTAATTAAGTTTTTAAGGATTTACTAAGAGGGAGGCACATGCAGTAGGGTCAGCCTCTTAGCCATATCTTCACCCTAGAAAATATGTGTGGCTCCACTGTAATCACAGACAGTTATCCTGGCTGTCAGATTTAAAATGATGGGTGTCATGTAGGGACAAACAATGCATGATAAATATCCTGCGTGTTTAATCTAACTGCAAAGCATCGCCTGTATCGCAGTGCGCTAAAGCCTGTTTCCAGGGAGGAAAAAACAGCATGCAGCTGACAGCTGTTCCCTCGCTGAGCAAATGCTTCTTCACAGGCATCACAACCCTCGGCTAGCTATTTCAAAAAGGAGACAGGGGGCCTTCATCAGTTGATTATTGCCAGAAAGAATAAGCTGCAGCCTTATTTTCCTGTTAGCCAGATTTATAAGAGTTTCGCTATTGCCATTTGTCTGCTTGTTTTCCACTGGCCTGCTAAAGTTTGCCAAGCTCAGCAAGGTGGGAAGAACGGACTCATTATTTTGCTCTTGAGCTGGGTGTTGCTCTCCCATAGCTTTTTCCATATGCTACTGTGGAACATGCTGAACTTTCATGTGATCAAAATTGCTTTTACAACTTATTTTGTACCACTGTGTAGATGTTTCTCTATTTGTGGTGAGAGATAGCCTGCTACTCCACTGGAATAAGGCATGGAGATGTGAATTAACGTTCTCCACTTGGTTCAGCCCGGCTCACTCTGGTATTACAAGCAACCATGCAGCCCAAAGGAATGCATTTATCCCTAATGCAGCCTAGGTCTTCGGCAGTCTCAGTGCCCCATCAAAAATTAACTCAGTTCAGTCATCGACAGGAAAAAAGAAAAGATTCTAATTTTCAAAATATTGCTGACTGATGAGTCTTCTCTCTCCCTTCCCCCTAGTGTTCTGCTGAATTTTCATCTAGGCGCTCAGAGGATGGAGTATAGCCATGTGTAACAATATGAAAAAGAAACTATAGTTATAACCAGAGGATGGCAATTCAAACCCAAGAGCAACTTTGGCGAACACAGGGGACGAAAGGTCATTGTTCCTCCATCAACCCGTAGATACCACGGCACAGCAAGCACCCAAACACACCCTTAATGCCCAGCCACAAGTCCAGCGCAGTGGACAAGAGCCCAGTTACAAGAGCCCAAGCAGACTTTGGGGGCCCGAGCTGGGCTTTCTTTCAGTTCTGCCAAGTTTTCAGCATATTGGTATCGCTGCCAGTTATATTGCATAAAACACAAGGCAAGCACACGCAATCAGACAGCGAACACTCGCTAGCGTGGGGTTTTACCTGAAACGAATGCTAAGTCGCGCTGTGCCTTCAGTCCCATCTCGGAAGTCATTAAAAATAAAAAAAAAATAGTCAGAGAAGAGACAAGTTCACCCAGAGAAAAGACAATTCCCGAGCAGGATTTATCATCCCGCCCTCCTGAAGCACATGCAGGGAGGCTTTGGCGAATCGAGGCCACGGGGGTGGCCGGGGATGGGGACGGCCTGGTGCTGCCCCCCGAGAGCCGCGCCCGGCCTGTGGGAGAAGGTGTCCCGGCGGCGGAGTTGCCGCGGGGTGGGGAGGGCTGCGGGGCGCTCC